ACGGTGCAAGGACTTATGAAGATATTTCCAACAAACCCTCCTTAAAATGCAGTGCCCAATTCACTTGAAGTCAGTGAAAGAATTGTAGATTGATGACAAAACAAAGCACCTTTTAGAAAGTTCTACTAAATACTACGAATGCAGCTGTTGGTTTTGCCTAGAGGCTAAGAGGTCTTTCCAGAAGCCAGGTGGGAAGAGCCACCTGGTACTGGGTTATTAATATCAGAGCAGATAGAAAGGCAGGCCTCTTCCTGCTCCCATACCATTTTTTGGATAATGCACAGGCCCGATCTCTGTTTACCCTGGTCAGCTCACCCATTAACCCAGCCTAAGGCTTGGGTCACCTCACATCATTTCTTCTTCTTGTTATCTGACTTTTATATTTAGGATCTTATTCATAGAAAGGAAGGAGAGAAGTTAGAGGAATTAGAAAGCAGAATCCCAACCCTTGTAAATAAGAAAAAAAATAAGTACTGAGTTTATCGCATCATTTATTTGTAGTCTCCTGTACTTTCTTTCCATGGCATCTTAGTAGTGCCGGCTTCTGCAGGGGAGTCTGGGAGCGTAAAAGTGCCTCTTTACGAATAGGCTAGGAATAGTAATTGATACTTAACTGCTGGATAATTTTAAATATCAGTATTATTGGAATGAGAGGTAGCTTTGATAGATTTTACATATGCCCAGAAAAGTTAAAAACAGATGCTTAAAAAAAAACACTTTATACCAGTATGTTTTATGTAGCAGTATTTCCAATAGGCAAAGGTGTAAAAGGCCAAATGTCTATCACATGCTGAGTGAATCAACAAATCTTGTATATCCATACAATGAATTACTATTCATCAGGAAAAAGGAAAAAGTTATGATGAACATGATGACTTAAAAGAACCTTGAAACATAATGTAAAGTGGAAGAAACAGACATGCAAAAATCACATATTGTGTGGTTCTTAGGTAATAAATATTCACAATACACGAGTTTATATAGAGAAAAAAAGCATGATTCTGGTTACCATGGGCTAGGGAGAAAAGGGGCTAAGGCGTGACTTCTTCTGAGCACAGGTGATCAATTTGAGCTGATGAAATGTTCTGAAACTAGACAGTGATAATGGTTGAAGAATATTGTGAATATACTAAATATAACCAGATTATAAGTGAACATGGGTATAATGGTAAATTTTATGTTATATGTATTTACCACAGTAGGTTAATTTTTGTGGAGTAGGAAAAAGCATAGATGTAGCTAATAGTGACAATGAAGGGCTGTCACTTACCACCTGTATGACCTTATTATGGTTTGAGCTCTGTTTCCATGCCTTCATCTGTAACCTAGAGGTAACTGCAACAGAGCTCACCTTGTAGCATTTTAAATCCTCCTGAGTCAAAATATTCAAGATGGTTAGCATAATATCTAGCACATAGTAATAGCACTATAAATATTTGTTATTAATGTAACTCAGTTACTCTCAACTAGAGGCAATGTTGCCTTCCAGGTAGCATTTGGCCATATCTGGAGACAGTCCAAGAGATCACAGTTGGGGGCTCAATTGACATCTAGTAAGTAGAGGCAATTATTCAATGAACAGAACAGCCTCTGAAACAAGGAATAGTCTAGCTCAAATATCAGCAGTCCCTAGGAAAACCCCCAGTTTAAATAAAACATGTAGAGAAATATGCTTCGTTTCATGAGTGTATAGATAAAAGTAGGCCAGGTAAAAATTTCTGTGAGAACATCAGCAAAAGGACTGCATATCCACTGTGTATTGAGAATACTGCCTTTGACGTTGTAGAAGATGTAAAGAGGACCAAGGAGCTGTTCTTGAGGGGCTTAGATAAAGAAGAGCTCTGTGTGAGAGTGTGTTCTCAAAGAGGGAAGATTTTACCAAGAGATTCTTGTAATCATTTTTCTGTAATAAGAGGGTCACACCAGGTCACACTCAGTAATTCACTGTCATGCCTATTCAGTGCTAACAGCCCCTGTGGAAGACACCAGAGAACAGTGTGTGGTTCCTGCCCGTGGCTGAATGTATCTTGTGTTTGGGTGAATGCTATTGAATCAATATCTCAAAAAGAAATCACTGTCACCAATAGATGTAAAAATTACTTATTATAAGTAAAGGCACAGACGTAAGAGAAAATACTAAATCTCTTGTATTCAACTACCCATTTACAAAAAGGAAAAAGAGATCCTTTTTTGCTCTGTTATTTAAAGAGTTAGTTTATCAGATCAGAAACTAATGTTGTAGAGTTTTTCTAACAATGTGACTGATCAACCATCAAAAAGTCTTTCTGAATTTGTTAACAGTGAAGTTTTCGAAAAAGGTCTCATTTCTCAGCTCCATCTTTTCTTTTTACCGTCAGGCTTAAGCCTTTTCTAGGTATGCCAAGCCTCTGCTTAGTCCCTTTCAGGGCCAAAGTCAGGACTAAGGAGTCAAATGAAACCAACCAGAGGGCAAAACCCTGGAAGTTCAGGTGTTTGGAAGTTGGTGTATGGGAAATGATGAACTGAGAATATAGTGGAAGAAATATGCTGTATATGTGCGTATGCTGTTATTGGGGTTTGAACTCATTTGGTTTTTTTCTTTTTTTTTTTTTGTTCAAGTCTGACATTCTATCACTAGATCTACAACTCCACTTGCAGATTTTTTGGCTGGTTACTTAGAGATAAGAGTCTCATGGACTTCTCTGTCTGGTCTAGCTTTAAATCATGATGCTTAGATTTCAGCCTCCTGAGTAGTGAGGATTTCAGGTGTGAGCCCACCAGTGCCCAGCTCTTCCTAAGCATCTTACTTAGCTGCTGCTATGGAGAGGAATCTTATGAGATTCCATATAGGAAGGAAACAAACTGAATTATGCATAGGCATGTCACAATGAGTTTGCTTGCCATGGGGAGAAAGATCTATTACTAATTGCTCTAATATAAGGCAGTGGTGCGTATCAGAAAACTGTAGGTAAAATACTGTAATTTCCAAGGGCGAAGTTGGGGAGTTTAGGTGAAATGTAAACATGTAAAAATGGTGTTGAAATACTTTCCAGGACAGAGCAAACTATAAAGGGGGCAAGTTTACTATGTCAGAGATTTTTGTAAGATTTGTATAGGAAAATAAGGTAAGTGTATATACCGGGATAAGTTCATGAAAAAAAAAAACCCCACAATGCTAGGACATACTTAAGCCATGGAGAAGCATTAGCATATTCCAGGCAGAGGAAAGCATTGTGCACCTGTATTCTAAGGTAGGATCTGAGTTACAGTGGGAGAAGAATTTGGGGAGACTTGACCAGTGTTTCAGATAAAACATGACAGATGTGATAGGACAGTGTTTAGAAACTCAGATGCTACTTGAAGATGTTTGGCATTATAGCACTGGCTCTGCATGACCTTGGGGACATTATTTAACTTCTCAGAGCCTCAATCTCTTCAGCCATTAAAAGGGATATAAAACCTTGACCCTTGGAGCCATGTGCTGAAGTTTACCTAAGTAAGTGCATTTAATGCGTTCTGTGCATCATCTGGCACAACATTAGCTATCATGTTCAACATAAAACTAGGCTGCCATTTATGATTGAAGATAACAAGAGGATATAGTGGAGAATGGATTTCTCATACATAAGGAAAGGACGGATCCTCTAGGTTGTTTGGAAGGGCGTTAATGAGTTATGGAGCTATGTCTCATAGTAGATAGAATGAAATTTATGGACTATCCATATCCACAATGTTCCAGCCAGCTGCATTCTTTGTAGTTTGATCTTACCAACTGACATTAGCTGTAGTAAAGTCCACTAACAGATCAAGAGCACTCTCAAGACATTACACTTTCCCTACTTTTATTAGTGAAGAAATCTAGGAATAAAAGCAAGCCATCAAATGAATAATGCTTTTACAAGCAGGAAAAGCTATTTGGATAGGCTGAGGCACGATGAACAGAATGAGCATCAGAGTTGTTGGGAAGAAAAACAACTGTGATGTTGCAGTTTAAGTTAGGGAATTGTCTTTGTGGGAAATTAAAGGGAATTGTGGGAGGAAAGGGAGAATCGGAAACATGGGCGAGATCCTATAGCAAGACATACAGCCTCTTATTCTGTAACTGAACTGTAGAAGCCAGAGCTGAAGGGCTTTGCTCTTCTACAATGGCCTTATCCATGCTCAGGTGGTTCCAATTTAATATATGCATAAGAATAAAGATGGAGCTTTCAAGTACTGGCATAGATTTTTTTTTAAGGGATGAAGCTTTATCCCTACAAGATTAAACAATCACTGGGGGTTTAAGGTCTAATCTGCTGGGGAGTTCAGCTAAGGACAGGGTTCAGAGACCCAGAATAATTGGATACAGCTTCCGACTTTGAACATCAAGGGTAACCCAGGGGTGTGTGTGTGTGTGTGTGTGTGTGTGTGTGTGTGTGTGTGTGTGTGTGTGTGTGAGAGAGAGAGAGAGAGAGAGAGAGAGAGAGAGAGAGAGGGACAGACAGAGATATGCTCATAATTAAGAGGTTTTTCCTTTGCAATGATATTGCCTTCCCCTGCTGCCTCCTTGGATCTTCAGTGGCTGAGTGGATATGGCTTCTGGGGGGTTGCTGCGCATATGAATGTGCACTATTGTTCCAGGCACATGCCAGCCTTAAGAAATAGCACAAAGCAGGCCCATCTCTATTGAGCAGCAAAGCCTCCTCCATCACTCAAACCAGCCCTTTCAGGTCACATGCCTGAGGCCTCTGCAGACAGGACACAGCTGCCTCAAATCTGCTGCCTAACATTAGCTGTGTGACTCAAAAGCACGGACAGTCCAGAGCTGCCCAGGATCCAAAAGGAAAACCAGAAAGATCTGAGATCCAAGCACTATGTTCTCCCAGGAACTGTGGCTGGAAAATGAGAAAAAATGTGCCATAGTTCGGAAATTGAAGCCAGGCAGGAAACGCCAAGAGCTGCTGGCTGTGGCATTGGGGGTGAAGGTAGGGGTGAAAAATGTCTTTCTTTGGCCCCCTCTCAAGATTTTTGCCTGTTCACAGATCTCCTCCCTGGTTCGAAGGGCCGCCCTCACACACAACGACAACCATTTCAACTATGAGAAGACACACAACTTCAAGGTAAGGCTCTGCATCCTTGCTTCTGGGGGTGCAGGGTGGGTGCAGGGTTGTGTGGCGTTTCCATCTGATCACTGGTGATAAAAGCAAGAGACAGCAAATCCTTCTGTTTTCCATATTTAGCTGCATACTTGACCACTGTTGCTTTGCCTCAATTCAAACTGGAGGCCTTAGAAAGCAAATTGTTCCATGCTTTTGCCTGGAAACACCTACCTAAATATATGTATTAGGGAATCAGGTCTGCTTTATCTTCCTGTGTCCAGTGAAAGAAAAACAGGGCATGCCCAGTGAGTGGCATTCAGAGATGTTCTGAGGAAAAGCCTTTCAGTACTTTTCCACTCAGAAGAGCAGTAAGAACATGGCCATCTCCGAGAAGTGAAAACATTGGCCGTTTACATTTTATGTTTTGTCTTTTGTTTTTACGACTGCTAGCTCACTCCCTTTGTTTCCATGCAGATAGTTGTGAAAGTAAATGGAGATTAGAGAATCCCCCCCAGTGGCTTCTGTGTGTAGTCCAGTTCAGGGGCAGCCTGGCCAAACGGGCCCTGCTCACCAGACCAAACAAAAAAGATAGGGAGACCTAGAGGGAATTTAAGTGGACTTTCTCACGTGTTATCTCCACTTTAGTCCTGCTCTTGGAGATAATATCTGCCCTTTTCATCCAAAAATTATGACCTGCTTCCTTGGCCCCATTGTGTCACATCAAAAGTGCTGGTAAGGAAGCTGATACCAACTTGCCCAGCTTGAGTCACTAGCAAGGGAAAGACACAAGATGAAGTTAGAGACTCATCCAAGCAAATGCACTGACAATTTGGACATGAGAAAGACTGGAGATGAAGGAGCTAGGAAGAAAAGAATAAGCAGAGGAAACAGTGGGAATGCCTTCTGTTAAACGCTCAGGTCCTTCAGGATCAGAAGCTTGAGTGATGGTTGGAATGAGATAACTCTTCAAAGTGACCAGGGAAACTGATTTTTCTCCTGCTGTTTTCCCCATCCTTCTATAAAAACACACTTTCATATTAGACTTGTTCGTTTCCCTGCTTCCGTTTCTAAAAAGCAAGTTGCTTCAGGCATTTGCAAGCTATCCTTGAACTGCAGAATGAAATTATTCACCCTGCACCTTAAGATTAGGGTAAAGAAATAGGTTAGATAGGATCTCTTCCATGCCAAGACTTGATATTTTTCCCATCACCAAATAGTTACATTTCTAGCTTACAGCATAAAAAGTCATTTGTTTCCTCCTTCCTGTTTTCTATTTTCATCCTCATTAATTTTGGTTTTGCTTAAGAAAATATTTTTCTGACTTTTTGGCCAAAATGCCTGACTTTTGTATCCTGTGAATGTACTACCAAGTATGAAAGGGTGGATCTTCTTGGACTTGTAAACCTTTTCCTTCCTCTCAAAAATCACAGTTAGTTTGGCTTTGCAATACCCTTATAATTAAGTCCTTACCATACTGTTGTGTGAAATGATTCTGTATGTATCTACTGCACTTGAGTTGATGTCAAAAACACACAAGCAACTTTAGTTTATGTGTGATAACTTTCAAATCAATGTCAGTCTTTTTAATCCTCAATCTCTTAATGAGAAATTAATCTGTAGGACATTTTAAAACAAAAAAGCTAGTTGGGTCCTATTTCTTCAATTTGCTAGACTAAATATTTAACACTGAAAATATGTGATATATTAAATATTTGTCATTGAAACAGCAACTTTAAAAATGTTTACATAAGAATTCAGTATTTATGCCATGTGACCTCTTATAACTTCCAACTATTGAAAGAAGAAAACACAGAGAATGGACAAGTTGTTTAAGAGGGATAAAAAACTCAGACAGAAGCATGGCTCTTCCATGTTTTTAAACCAATAGCTTTGAAACTTAGCAGACCCTGGAGTAGCTGTGGCTTTCAGTAGTACTGTGTGTGTCAATGTCCTTGAATGTGGCTGCTACCACTCTCTGTCATTCCTGTCCATTCTACCCTCACGTTCTTTCCCTCTCTTTGCCTCCAGCTATAAGTGGAATCTTTGCATAGTCTTTAAAGAATAGTCTAAAGGCAGGTTCATGTTATAAATACAGGTGTATGAGTTTAGGAACAAGCCATTCATAATCCATCAGCTTGGAATTTGTTTTTTTGTTTTTTGTTTTTGTTTTTTGTCGGTCGTGGGGCTTGAACTCTGGGCCTGGGCACTGTCTCTCAGCTCTTCAGCTCAAGGTGAGTGCTCTACCACTTGAGCCACAGTGCCACTTCCGATTTTCTAGCAGTTTATTGGAGATGAGAGTCTTATGGAATTTCCTGCCGGGGCTGGCTTTGAACTGTGAACCTCAGATCTCAGCCTTCTGAGTAGCTAGGATTACAAGCATGAGCCACCAGCGCCCAGCTGGAATTTGTATTTTATGTGTCTGTTTTATATTGGCGTATTATTGATGTTGACTTTGAATATTTTTATTGAAAAATTGCGGTTGTAATTCAGGTTACTTTTGATATTATATATAAAGCATAGAGTAAGTGTTCAGTAAAAAGAATTAATAATGCCATCTTCATATTTATCAACTACTAGGCTTTGTTTACTCCTATTTACATTCTTTTCCAGTTTTCATTATCTTTAAGTAATTGTACAGAGGTGTTTCAAGTCAACACATTAGTTTATAAGTACAGTGCATACTGATCAGTGTCTGTCTATAATCTTTTTTTTTCTGTCTATAATCTTTACAGAGGTTCTAATCTGCCAGAGGAGCTTATTGTCTGATTCCATAATGAGATTCTTGGCCTATTCCCTCAAGTGAAATTCTTCTCCCTTGCACTACCTAGCAACTTTTTCATGATAAATGAATAGAAACTCATAACATTATATAGATTGGGAATCTGAAGTTCTTAGCCATTAATTTCTCCTAAGAATAGTGCTTATCTCCTGTGCTTGCTTTTCAAACAAAGTCTAGAAAAATTCAGAGGGCAAAAGATTTGGTGGACAGATTATTTCTTGTAATCATTCTACACTTTGCAACTTTACACAATATTTGCTCATGAAAAGCCTGAATTTTCTAGGGCAAGAAGCATTTGTTGAGGCAATGGTGAAATTAACAGACTCTAAAATGAAAATTGCCTGTCAAGAGCAAAATACATTAACTACATTCCTCTGCTGGCTAGGAGACTTTCAAATGGACCATCCTAATGACCTCCGAATTACTTCAGGACAGCAAACTTTAAAGCCCCAATCATCTGGGTGACTGTCCTCTCTGCCCATCTTAGAACATGATGAGGTAGTGTAGCTGCACAGATGATGTCTGGGCCTTCTCCTTCTCATCTATTAAGAGGGAAGGTTTATCCCAGGTACCAGTGGCTGGTGCCTATAATCCTAGCTACTCAGGAAGCTGCAATCAGATGATGGAGGTTCAAAGCCAGCGTAGGTAGGAAAGTCTGTAAGACTCTTTTTTGTTTTGCGGGGGGGGGGGGGGGGGGTCCGGTTGTGGGGCCTGAACTCTGGGCCTGGGCACTGTCCCTCAGCTCTTCAGCTCAAGGCTAGCACTCTACCACTTGAGTCACAGCGCCACTCCTGGCTTTTTTTCTTTTTGCTTATGTGGTGCTGAGGAATCGAACCCAGGGCCTCATGCATGCAAGGCAAGTGCTCTACCACTGAGCCACCTTCCCAGCCCCTCTGTGAGACTCTTGATTCCAATTAACCATCAAAACATCCAGAAGTAAAGGTGTGGCTTAAGTTGCAGAGCAACTTCTGCCTTGAGCAGAAAATGCTAAGGTTCCAAGCCCTGAGTTCAAGCTCCAGTGCCAGCAGAAAACAAAACAGCAACAACAAAAGAATACATGTTAATCAGTTATCAGGTCTCTGGCACTTTGTAATGAGTATGAATTTGGTGTAACTTTTTTATTACTTTATTATTCATCCTATTTACATCTCTCACTTCTGTTGTTTATGCCTTCGGTTTTCTCTATATATTTCTTGTTTTCTGCCCTCACATCTTCATGTTTCTCTTTCATCTTTTCTTGTTAAATAGACTTATCAGAATGAAATAAATCCTGAAGACTAATTTCTTTTAATATCTATTAGCATGTAGGCAAATGGTTCTCATCTGTTTCAAAAATAGGTAAATGATTAAGATCGTTTTTTTAGATTTAGGCTATTGTATGCATATTTGCTTCAGCTTACGAAGAAAGTTGTTTATGAGAACTGTCCTCATTTCCTAGCTTGGTCATAACCAATGGCCACATACTTGGTGGCTTAAAGCAACAAAAGTTTACCTTCCTGTAGTTTTGGAGTCCAGTAATAGGAAAGCAAGGCATGGACGGAAGGGAAGGAAGTCTCTGCTTGTTCTGCCACCCTTAACCAGGAAGCCACAAAGAGGAGTAGGAGCTCAGCTCAACCCTGCATAGAGAAAGGAAGGAACCTAACATATAGAGGAAAGCAACTACATGAGAAAAGAGAGAGTCAGGTAGACCAGATGATGAGTAGCAGCTGATGATGATCCAGGCATGGGAAACAGAGATCTCTGAGCAGCAATTCTATTACCCTGCCTGCTTCCGTTCTCAGCCTGACCAGTCTGCATGTGTCTGTATCACTCTCCCTCCTAGATCCACTCCTCTACCCCAGCTCTTCCAGGACACTCTTTCTCTCCACATGGAATAAAAATGGACAGTAGAGGCCCACAATGTGTGAATGCCAACAGTCAAACACCCTATCCTCACTCTACCCAGTACTCCTGATTCTTCGGCTATCCTCTTTTCCTCTACCCTCCACTCCCCTGCTTTGCTTTTCTCCACAGTGATTCTCATCATGGTCAGATGTTTTTACTTATCTGGTATCCTGCTTTCACATGATATGTAAGTCAGACTTTGTGTTATGGTGACTCAATACTTGACATAATCAACTTGAGAAAAAAACATTAAAGCTCAGTTTCAGAGTTGTTGTTTTTTTTATTTTTTTGTTTTTTGCCAGTCCTGGACTTGAACTCTAGGTCTGGGCGCTGTCCCTCAGCTCTTCAGCTCAAGGCT